GTGATTGCCTTCTTTCCAGGAGGCAAGTCACACAGGTCCCATGTCTCGTTCTCAATTAGGGACCCGAACTCCTCATCCTCACTCGCCTTCCACTTCTCCCCATTTGGTCCATTCAAGGCCTCTTCTCGAGTCTTGGGCTCAGGGATTGGTGCCCAGTAGCAGTGAGCGATCTCATCTTCCTCAATCTGCTCAACCACACTCCCAGCCTGCACCACATTCGGCTTGCCTCTTCCCCCATAGGTCAGCCTCACTGGAGGGCGCACATCCCTCCTAGGACGCTCAGGCGGGTGTGGAACTCGAGGTGGAGACTCATGCTGCTGCTGCTGCTGCTGCTCTACTTCAGCTGCTCCCCCTTCCTCAGTCACCCCAGACATCTCCTCCTCTGACACTGCAACCTCCACCTGTCTTGAAGGCTGCTGCAACTCATCTGCCTCCACAATGAGTGGTGTAGATGGAAGCTTCTGTTGCTGCTGCTTCCATTCCTTATAGTACAGGGACTCAAGAAACTTCACATCCCTTGACACTGTCAGCTTCTGGGTGGTCAGGTCCCATAGCAGCCACCCCTTGTGATCCTTTGCAATCCCCAAGTGCACACCCCATCTTCCAGAAGCCTCCAACTTCCCCCTTTTCTCCTTGGGCACATGAAACACCACCATGCACCCAAATGCCCTCAGCATGTTCACCGCTGGAGCACTCCCATACCACTTGGCATATGGGATCCACTCCTTATCTCCAACTGTAGCCAGCACCCTATTCTTCACAAGGGCGACCTGCCTCAGTGCAGACACCCAAAACGGATCAGGCAGCCCTGCACGCCCAAGGAGAGTGCGTGCCCCCTCCTGCAGGGTCCTGTTGAACCTCTCAGCCACGCCATTCTGCTGCGGGTTGTAGGGCACTGTCAGTTGATGCTGGATCCCCTTCCTCTTCAACTCCCCCTCAAAATCAGCTCCAATGAACTCCCCACCATTGTCACTACGGATCACCTTCACCTTGTGTCCGCATTCCCTCTGAGCTCTCGGCATCCACTCCTTAAGGACAGCCGCTGCCACCTCCCCCTTGCTCTTCAAAGGGTAAACCCACACTGCCCAAGTGTGGTCATCCACAATTGTCAAGAAATAGCGGCTGCCTGAGAGGGAAGGGGCTCTTGTGGGCCCCACCACATCCATGTGCACAAGTGCAAGTGGGGTCTTGGATGGTCCAGTTGCACTGTTGAAGGGGAACTTGGAGAACTTGGTCTCCAAGCATGTAGGGCAGCTCCCAATCTCCTTCACTTCCCCTTTCACCTCCAAGCCCTTCAGGCTCCCATTCTTCACCAACTTCTGCAGCATAGGGAAGTTCACATGACACAGCCTCTCATGCCATGTCTCCCAATCGGCCTCTCCACTCCTTGATGAAGCCTTAGCCCATGCCGCACTCGCATCCACACCAGCAAGCACCTCACCATGTGTCTGCTGCTGCTGCACTTTCTTGACTGCTTCCAGGACCCCATCAGTTGGTGCAGTTGCATCTCCTCCTGCTGTTGCCTTTGCCGCTGCTGCCGTTGCTGCTGTTGGAGTCTTCCCATTCCATGGGATGATGGGCAGCTGCCACAGGTCCTTGATGCAGCTGGTCTCCTCTTCCAGACTCCACAGCACCTTCTTCCCAAGCTTAGCACGGCAGCTGGTTGGTCCAAAGGTCACTTCGGCCTTACTCTTCTGCAGTCGCCGCACAGAGAGAAGGTTAGCAGACAAGCCTTTAACCAGCAGAACATTCCCAAGCCCCACAAGCTCCCCATTAGCTCCCTTAACCTTGGCATTCCCAACACCAATCACGGGGAGCAAAGCACCTGACGCTGCTGCCACATACTTAATCTTCCCAGGGGGTTTTACCTCATCAAGCAAATCTGCCCGTGGAGTCATGTGACTGGTGCAACCCGAATCAATCACCCAGTGCGTGAGAGGGTGCATCACAACCTTTCCCACAGATCCCACATCACCCTCATGCCCATGCACATCCTCAACCATAACAAACAAACCAGGATAGGCATTACCTTGTGCACCTTCACCTTGTGCACCTGAGCCTTGCACAGCGCCACCTTGTGCGCGTTCACCACTGGGCGGCTTCATGCCTGGAGGTGCCCATCCCTCCAGCCTGCTGAAGCACTTGAACCAAGGATGCCCAACCTTCTTGCAGTACCAGCACGTGCCCTCCATTCTGGTACTCCCCCTGCCACTAGAGCTCCCATGCCCCTCATTATAGTCACCTCGGCCTCTACCTCTGCCAAAGCTCCTCCCACGGCCTCGGCCTTTCCAACCCCCTCTTCCTCTGCTGCGCCCTGCAGCTCCATACCCCTCAGCAGTCTTAGTGGCAGCACCGCCTCCCACATGGCGTCTGCGGAAGTCCTCCTGCAGAATCTGCTGCCTTAGCCACTCAGGTGTCCATTGATCTTGCTGAGAGTTGAGGGTGGGGATGAGGTTGTCCCAAGAGTTGTCCAACACCGAGATGATCTTGGTGCACTGCTGCAGCTGAGATACACTGCTGCCCGCTGCTGCCATCCTTGCATAGGTGTCCTTGATCTTGTCAAGGACCGGCTTCACATCGTCCCCTGGTCGCATGGAGATGGCAGCAAGTTCCTTCTCGAGCACGATCACCATCGGGAGAGTGTTGGGCTGAACCACATCACGTAGTAGTTTCCACGCCCTTGGACCCGAATCATCCGCTTCCACAAGATCCTTGATGTGCTCGAACATCTCCTTGTTGACCGATTGAAGAATGAGGTCGAAAAGCACCGCGCTTTTCTCAATCCACCGTTCACGTGCTTCGCCTTCTTCCGGCATCTTCTCTTCCCCAACAGCAATCTTCAGTAGCTTGTAGCGTTTGAAGGCACTCCTCATCCGTCCGCTCCATTCCTCATAGTTGGAGCCATCCAAAGCTTCAACCTTTGATGGCGGCGGCTCACTTGTCTTCTCAGGTACAGCTCCTCTTCCATTAGCATCTCCTCCTCTCTCATTCATCTTCTCCTTGAGAAATGACGAATTTCAGCTCCCCTTTGCTGTCCACACTCAGCTCCCTCGATATTTTCACAAGTGTCGGCGTCCACGAAATTTCGGCAGAGTTTCCCCTTAGCGGAAGACACATCCAACCTTTAGAACACCACTTAGGCACACCCACAGGCCATGGTGGGTCTAGAAGGGTCTTCAAACTTCTGTAGACTCCTCTCAATGTCCTTAATATTGCTCTGATACCACTTGTTAGGATTAAGGACGGAGTCTAGGTGAACTTAGGAGCTAGAATTACTCAAAATATAAATCCGAAATTCTGGACAGAAAAGTCGTCTTTACAAGAAACGACGTCGACGAAAAACTAGCCGTTGGAATGTCGCGAAACTTGGATATGTTGTAGCTCTTAATCTCAGCTACCGTTCCCAATTTGAATCACGTTGATTGATGAAGTATTCGCGACGCTATGGCTTTCGACGCATTAGGGGGTAAGCTGTAGGAGGAGAACTTAACTCAATCTCAAAGGTTCAATCAAAGTTCAAGAATCTCACAAGGAATTAGAAGGAGCAAGAGAAAGGTTGGGATAGGAAGAGAGGGATGAGAGGGAAGGTCCCAAGAGAGTCCCCAACCAAGGAAAACCCCATAAGCACAAAGATTCCCTCCCTATAGGAACCCCAACTTTGACATTTGTCCCTTCCCAACCAATCCATCCAAGTTGGCCACCCTTGCCAACCTAGCTTGGTTGTTCCCAACCAATTTGCAGCTGTTACAGTAGAGTGACAAGTTTCCCCAACCCCAAAGGTCCCAACTCCATATAAAGTCACCCCACAACTTCACTTAGTAACCGCCGCAATTGTAACGCAAGCTCATGAACTTTGAATCTTCATAGCTTTCGCGTTCTTGCTCCGATTGAAGCGATTCTTGTTGCGTCGGAAAGATCTTCTCAAGATCTATTATCACAAATACCTGCTCAGACAGAATAACACAAAACACATTCCCAAACTCCAGAACACACCACACACAAATGCTTGCACATTCAAACCACACATGCAAGTTGAAAAAACATGGGATGGGAGGCAGACAGAATGTGATAGCATATGATGACATCACACAACACCTCTCCCCAACCCCTGGCATGGGTGATCGGATTGCCCCAAACGACGGTAACCCAACGTAATCTAGGTGGTTGGCCTAAGAATACCGGAGGGGAGGGGTGCTCTATCTCTCCGAGTGGAGCCAAGACGGAAGCAAGTATCGAGGTGGTTGCCTAAGAATACAGAGGGAGGGGTGCTCTACCTCTCCCCGACCCCTGGCATGGGTCATACGGTTGCCCCAAATGACGGTAACCCAACGTAATCCAGGTCACTGGCCTAAGAATACCGGAGGGGAGGGGTGCTCTATCTTTCCCCAACCCTTGGCATGGGCCATCCGATTGCCCCAAACGACGGTAACCCAACGTAATCCGGGTCATTGGCCTAAGAATACAGGAGGGGAGGGGTGCTCTACCTCTCCCCAACCCTTGGCATGTGGGAATAGATTGCCCCAAACGACGGTAAGCCAACGTAATCCAGGTCACTGGCCTTAGAACAACGGAGGGGAGGAGTGCTCTACCTCTCCCCAACCCTTGCCATGGGGAAATCGATTGCCCCAAACGACGATAAGCCAACGTAATCCAGGTCATTGGCCTAAGAATACTGGGCGGGAGGGGTGCTCCACCTCTCCCCAACCCTTGGCAACCGGGAATCGATTGCTCCAAACGACGGTTAGCCAACGTAATCCGGGTGGTTGGCTTAAGAAAATCCGGGGGAAGGAGTGCTCTACCTCTCCCCGAACCTTGGCAAGGGCCAGTCGGTTGCGCCAAACGACGGTAAGCCAACGTAATCCGGGTGGTTAGCCT